TAATATATTCATTTGATTCTTTCTTTTTTGAGAAGAATATTCTAGTGTACTGAGTTTTGACACAGTGGTAATAAAGGTTTAAGACAATATGTGCATAAGCCATTTCAATCATTTCTTTATTTAAACTACCAAAAATTGTCCTACTATTAGCAATAACTTTTTTGCAATTTCTGTATAATCAATAAAGAAAATGGGGCAAATGAGAGACCTGAACATACTACCGGCTTTTCAGGTACATGAGTATTTGTTTTGAACAAGCAAAAAGCTTTCTATGAAAGGCCATTCTGATGACTAAACAATATTTTTATGCCTGTTGATGATTAAAAGATAATATTTAAGAAGGAGTAATTGATGGTTAATAATACAGTACAGACAATTTAAAATATTTTCATTCCTATGGAACCAGTAGTTGACAATAGGGATACTAAAAGTATAAATCAACTAATTCTTAGAGTTTCTATGGGTATTTCTTTTTGTTTGTTTTGAGACAGGGTTTCTCTGTGTAGCTTTGTAGACCAGGCTTGCCTTGAACTCACAGAGATCCACCTGCCTCTGCCTCCCAAGTACTGGAATTAAAGGTGTGCACCACCACCACCCAGCTTCTATAGGTATTCTTTAAAAATGCACCTTTAACTGACATCCTTTAGATTTTTTTACTAATTTATTCTTTACATTCTAATTCAAGTTCCCCCTCCCTCCTCTTCTCCTGTTTTCTCCTCTCCCTCCTCCTATCTGCTCCTCAGATAGGGAGGTAAAGCCTCCCCTAGGAAGTTTACTAAGTCTGTCCCATCACCTCATTGAGGCAGGACCAAGGCACCTCTCCGGCCCCACACCCTTGTGTACATCCTTTAAATTTAAAACAAGATACATCAGGATCAAAGCAGACAATGTTCAAGAGGAATGTTTTCACAGATTTTTTATAAAATTAGGTATCAGGAGCTGGAGAGATGTCTCAGAGGTTAAGAGCACTGGCTGTTCTTCCAGAGATCCTGAGTTCAATTCCCAGCAACCACATGGTGGCTCACAACCATCCATTATGAGATCTGGTACCCTCTTCTGGTGTACAGATATACATGAAAGCAAAATGTTGTACATAATTAAAAAAATAAAATCTTTTAAAAATTAGGTTTCAGAAAGGCTAAAAATGTGCTTCTTATGCCATTAATACAATACTCCAATACCTTGGCAGTGTCCCTGTTCATAGCCACGTGTGGGGGACAAATTCTGAGTCCAGAAATTGTTGTATGAATCAAAGAATTATTATACCACAAGTTCCTAGAAAGAAAGGTAATGCTGTAAATCTACTTTCTTTTCTCTTTCATGGAACTTTTGTTACATGCCTAGAGGATGCCACTTTGACAATGCTTCATTTTCAGTTACAGAAATAATGACCTTGGCTGGTAGATAGCCCCTCATTGTCTTAATCCCATCACATTTTATCATTTAGAAGGATTCAAATGATTTCCCATTAAATTTTCAGACCCACAATTTACAGTATTTCTGAGTCACAATATTTGAATAGCAGCTCTTTACCATGTGGCTTAGCAGGTCTTAAAGCAATCTGTATGCTGTAAGAGTCATCACTATAGGGATTGTCTTTCTTTTAAATAAATTACCAACCAACAAGAAGCATCAGTTTCTACTGAGCCCGAGGCCTGAGCCACATAAACCTTGTTAGATCCACTTGTCCACAAAGCATGGAAATCAAATTAAGAGTGGGTAGGAAAACAGCAGAAGCTTGGTAGAAGTAATCTACAGAGTTGAGAACCAAGTCAAACAACTTACATTTCAATTGGCTAATAAAATTAAACAATGTATACTAGGTTTCTTATGTCTATTTTATACTTTCAAATGTATCCACACTAAAGTGTTAGATTCAGCACAACATGTCCAGTAATTGAACCTGAAACAGATAAAGGTCAGCTCAAATAGCATTTATACTTACAGCTAGGAAGTAGCTGAATAGTGGTGTACTTGTCTAGCAGGCTCAAGAAACTGTTCTCAACAAACAAAAACGTGGAAGTTTAATTAATGATATTGTACCCAAACTAATTTGTAAAAGATCATTTATTTTTATTTTATGTATATGGGTGTTTTGCATGTGTGTGTGTATGTGTCAATTGTGGGTTCTTCGGCCTTGTAATCAAGACTCATAATAAAATATTCCATGTTTTGCTCACACCATCAATGGCCTTAGCATTTTAGGTATCAATTTCTTATTTATATTCCATTTATTGTTATCATTTTCTGGTTATGTTATGGGAATGACAATGGGCTTGTATTCAATAATCAAAAATTAGCAGAATAGGCATGCATTATGTTAAACATAATTCAAATGGTAGCAAATTCTTTTAGATTTAACAGGAAACGTCTAATAGTAGCAACCTGATACTCTCTCTGATCAATGAAAGATAAATATATTGATTGAGACTAACATCTGACATTTGGGTTAATGTTTATTGTTAATCTACAGAGGTAAAAAAAAACAACTCAATACTAAAAACCAACCCAGCTTTTCCAATAACACTGAAAGAATCTAGACAGTGCAGTAGTTTTCTTATTATGTATTTTCAAAGAGTTGTCTTTATTGAGACGTGTAGAAGCTGTCACATCAATAACAAATTCAAGAGACTAGTAAAAATGAAGCAGATTTTTAATATTCATTTGACAGAAAAGGACGGCAGTGTATTTTAAAAAAAAGGCAATAATGGCTGACTTAGTGATTTGGCACAAGAAGATGGTTTTTAAAATCCCTTGGTCTGGTGAAATGCCTCTCTTCCCATAGGGTAGGACTTGCCCCCTTCCCGATGAATGATTTGAGGCTTAAGGCTGTCCCATTTTCTAATCTGAGGCTCTGGCCTGTAGCAGAGTGCTTGTAACTTTCTAACTTTCAGAGTTCTGAAGCAAGCCTTTGCCAGGTGCCAGCTAGTGGAGAGGCCTCAATGCCTGGGGCCTCCTGCTATCCATCACTAACTTGAAAAACACCTCATACTGAAAACAGAATGTAACAATTTCTTATCGTTACTCTCAGCTGCACCACCCTGGCAGGTAACCGTGAGGGAGTTGCATTCTGCCAGGTAGGATTCTAAACCTAGTGATAGAAAACAATGAAAGGAGCAGTGCAGGGAGACCCCTCCAGTGTGCACATCCTATCCCTGAAAGCGCAGGGAGGTAGGGTGAGTGGGGCTGATACCCAACCTCTTCCTGATGCTTCCTCCAAAAACTAAGGAACAGTAATCTAGAGATCTCACAACAACAGGTGGGAACTCCTGACTCCCAGGGCAGGCTTGGTTTTTTGTTTGCCTCCACCACACACCAGGTTCTTCTCACACACCTAAGATGCTTGAGCCGCATTCAATACTTCTGCGCCACGGGTTTGAAGTGACTGGTTCTGTTGGGCCCAAAAAGGGGGGTTCCAACCTCGGGAGACATACTCCACAGAGCCACTCACAGGACACAAGTTCGATGCAAAAGCAAAAGGATTTTATTCCAACGCGCTGGGGTCGCTCCCTGGGAAGACAACGACCCTGAGTTTCCAAAGCAGTCAGTTTTTATATCTTTTCGGTCATGAGGCAGGAGTGTGACAACATATTGATTGGCTATAACATACATGAGTCATTTACTGATTGGTTGGGAACAATAAGAAGCCTTGTAACCAAGCAGGCAAAGGCCTGGCTGGAGGGAGATTAGGACAGAGGCTACAACCTGGCAGGCAAAGGCCTGACTGAAGAAAAATTAAAGGAAAGGGAGTATAGGCCCACTATGCAGCCCAGCTGTTGTAGATAAGAGTAAAAATGTGTGAAGTGTGGCAAAGTGTGATTAGCACGATTTAGCGAATTATTTAAGGACCAGCTCAGAACTAGGAATTTTAGAGTGTACCATGACTCTACTATGTCCTGGAGCTCTCCTCCGATAACCTGACAACCAGTCCATCAAGCTGAATGGCGCCCGTTCTGAGCCCAACTCCACGACACCCGGCCCTCAGGAGACTCGCTGGCCTGAATCCAGAGGAGCACAAGTCCAGAGCCTGAACCTGTGGGCAGCTGCAGGAGAGGTACCCCTGCTGTGAGCCTATTGTCTGTGGTTCTTAGGATTGTTTGCTGATGCTTGTGTGTTGCTTTAACATAAGTGTGACGTAAAACTTACATACTCAAAACCAACTCTCCGAGTTTGTCATTCCTCCCAGGTCAAAACCTGGTAAGGGCTCGAGACAGGAACTGAACTGACAATTTTGCCCACGAGGGGTTTGGAATGTTATTTTGGTTTTTACACCTGCAAGGCCATGGGACAGCTAGTGTTTTTTCCGGGAACAGAGTGACTCATACTTACGTTCAAAACTTGGGTGCTCTGGAGCAGGGTAACCCATAACAATTTTTAGAAACCAGTTATTGAAGATAGTAACATTCCTTGGAAACTAGTAATAATAACAATTTCCAGAGACCGGTCATCAGGACCGACCATTTCATGTGTTCTTTTCCCCAGATCTCTCTCCTCTCTCTCTCTCTCTCTCTCTCTCTCTCTCTCTCTCTCTCTCTCTCTCTCTCTCTCTCTCTCTCTGTGTGTGTGTGTGTGTGTGTGTGTGTGTGTGTGTGTGTGTGTTGTGTGTGTGTGTCTGGGGTGATTTTCAAATACATGCTGGTGAGTATCAGGCTGGGTTTGAGTTGGGGTCTTTCCTGAGCTAAAGCTCTGGCTAGAGGTGACTCAGGCCGTCGTCCAGCAGAGTCCTTGGGGCTCTTCCTATCCTTTATACATCTGGCTTTACTCACATGAAGGCTTTTTCACTGAGAGAAGATTCTGACACCTCCCAGTCTCACACGCAAAAACAAACGAGTGCGAGGCAGGCCACGCTCAGGTGCATTTCGTCCAGAACGTCAGCTGACTCTGATACCCGCCGCCCCTGGCACCTCGCTCACACCCAGCTCAGCTTCGCTCCGCCCCTGCTCCGCCCCCACCCCGCAGACAGCCCGCAGCGCCCGCCTCTCCTCCGCCCAGCCAGCACACCCAGAGCACACACGCACGCTTGGCGTCACCGCGGCGACCAGCAGTGACGTCAGAGGCGCGCCTCACGGAAGTCTGCGCGGGCTCGGCAGGAGGAGTCCTGCCTGTTTGCGCGCTCATGGTGCGCTGCGGGTGCGCGTGGTGGAGACAGGTCCGTCCGGGTGTCCGGGAGATGCACGAGTCTCTTGACGTGCTTAGGCCTGTTTGGGGGTCTGGATGATTCCTCCAGGCTGGTGGGCGGGAAACTGGGGGACCCGCCTGCGGTTGAGACCCGGTGTTGCGGTGCACGTGGTCCGTGGCGGCTTTAGTTTCAGCTCTCGTTATTTAAAGTCGTATCCATAGCCTGTTTCAGCTCTCGTTATTTAAAGTCGTATCCATAGCCTGTTTTTATACGTTTTTCATCCCTTGTACTGTTTTTTTTTGGGGGGGGGAGGGTCAAGACAGGGTTTCTCTGTGGCTTTGGAGCCTATCCTGGCACTCGCTCGGTAGACCAGGCTGGCCTCGAACTCAAGGAGATCCTCCTGCCTCTGCCTCCCGAGTGCTGGGATTAAAGGCGTGCGCCACCACCACTTCCCAGCTTCCTTGTACTGCTTTTAATGTCTTTCTGAAGACCTTTTCTGGAAGCCAGAGTGTGCAATCATTGTGCCTGTTACAGAGACTTCAGTTCTACGTAGTGCTTGTTTTAGAATCCATTTTCATAGCAATCTGCAACCAACCGCTTCAGTTTAAACACACACACGCACACACGGCTAACTAGTAATGGCTTTTGAAAACTAGAAGTCATCTTACTTAAGCCATTCCCTGTTACTAACAACCATTGTAAGATTCCTTAATAAATTTGATGAATCTAGAAAGTAAAGAAAAAGTCACAGTTTGAACATAGCTTTAAAAGCCCTTAACAAGAGCATATGAGGGTGGTCAGTCTTCACTTTTTTGTTTTTTTTGTTTTTCCAGACAGGGTTTCTCTGTATAGCCTCACCTGCCCTGGAAGCCACTACCACCACCTGGCTTAATCTTCACTTTTTAAAATCCCCAGATATTTCTGATACCTAAAAGTATTGCAGATTATCAAAAATGTGAATATTAATATTCTCTGTAATTTGAAAGCCTGGGATTAATACACAAGTGCTTTATAAGAAGTTAGTGATTTCGTGAGGAAAACAGAGACACTAAATATAGAATAAGATTTCAGACCTGTTGTTGTGGCATACACCTTTAATCCCAGCACTCAGGAGGCAGAGGCAGGCGGATCTTTGTGAGTTCGAGGCCATCCTGGTCTCCAGAGAGAGTGCCAGGATAGGCTCCAAAGCTACACAGAGAAACCCTGTCTCGAGAAAAAAAAAACCAACAACAACAACAAAAAGATTTCATAAGGTTTAATCCAATTTCTGAGGAAGCCTGCAAGGCAGAGGAAGAGTCAATGAGAAAAACATTCCATGGATGCCTCAGATCATAAAACCATATTTTTTAAAATTTTTATTTATTTTTATTTTATGTGCATTGGTGTTTTGCCTGCATGTATACATCTGTGTGAGGGTGTAGGATCGCCTGTAACACAGCTACAGACAGCTGTGAGCTTCCATGTGGGTGCTGGGAACTGAACCAAGACCATCCCAGGACTCCCAACCCCTGAGCCATCTCTCCTGTCCATAAAACCATATTTTAAGCCATATTTTAGTCTGTTATTTGAGAATACATTGCGAATCTGACACCAGAGAGTGGGTTTATGATAGAGAAGAACAAATGATAATCTAAGAGAGAGAAAAGTGTGGGTAGAGAGTGGCAGGGAAACTGAGCAGGGCGTTGCATGGGAAAGAGCAAGCAGGGGTGGGAAAGTTATAACAAAAATAACAGTGATCCCACTGTTTCGAGGATAAAGGACTTGAACACAGTACTATGAATGTTGTTTGCTATTCCATAAGCAGTGAAACCCCAAAGTTCGATTGTTTCTGTGTAGAGGAAAATAGAGACATGATTCACTTAGGAAAAAGAAAAAAGAGCTCTTGGCTCATGGTGGTGGATACATTCAGAAGGAATGATGAAACACTGAAAGATCATTTGGAGTTAACAGGCAAGGTTTTAAGAGGACAGTGGTAGTGGAAAAAAGAGTTAGGCTTCTGGGAAAACCACAATTACAGTCAAAAACCATCCATTTGTTCAATCTTGGTGAATGGTTAAACTTTGATAATTATTTGAGGGAACAGATTTCTTTGTTGCTGTTTTTTGGGTTTTTGTACCATTTTGTTTTGGAGAGAACGTCAATGTTAAGATACTAACAAGTTAAAGGTTTTCAAATATAAATGAAATACAGTTCTGCTTTCAGTTGTTGTAAACTACTAAATGCTTACATTTTTCCTGGTGCTAGTTACTGGTACTCCTGTGATTACCCAGGAGAGGGGGTTTAGAGTGAAAACACAAATGGCAGAGACCTTGAGACTAGGGAAATGGAGAGTTGATCTAAGAAGAGGCTACACACATTTTATACAGAAAGCTTTGACTCCTTGAAGGAAGCCTCAGTAGAATGAAACTAGAACCTCTAAATTGATAACATTTTGTGTGTAAATACCCCCTCTCTCTCTCTCTTTTTAAGTATGGAAATTTCATTGATAATGTAAGACTCTTCACCAAAGGAGGAAGTGGTGGAATGGGTTACCCTCGTTTAGGGGGAGAAGGTGGAAGAGGCGGCGATGTCTGGGTTGTAGCCCATAAAAATATGACTTTAAAACAACTTAAAAACAAATATCCTCAGAAACGGTTTGTGGCTGGAGTAGGAGCAAACAGCCGGTAAGTGCTCATTGAATGATTTTAGCATCATGAAAGGCAAGCCCTTCTGGGGAAACAGTATAGAACTTGACTAATAACTCCAAGTAAATTGTTTTCTGTGATTCTAACCAAGCAAAAGTGTAGCATGACTATTTTGGTGGTTTTGATCTTTATTCATTTATTCTCCCAGTGTCTCTTTTGCATTTTCTCTAAGGGAATAGGTGTTATCTCAATTCCTACTTTTTTCCAAAGTTATCCTGAGCAAAATTTCAGCAATGCCACTGCAACTCACCACCATGAAAAGTCTTTCATCTGTAAATTTTTACCCAGATACAACCATTATTTGCTTTGAATCAACTTATCCAATTCGGTTCTGTGTTTATACAACTGTAATTATGTGTTTATATATAAGATCCAGCATAAAGAAATAAGATAAAAAAGCACAATACTAGCACTGAGTTGCTGCTCTCCATACATGACGAAAATTCATTAAAAGGTCAAGAAACTATATTTTGAAAACCACAAAAAAAGCACAATACGTTACAACCTCCTCTTTTTACTTAATCCCTTCATGCCTAAAATTTATTCAGAAAGCTGTGTATCGTAGTATTTGAATTAATATTTTATCATTTCCTAGTTTAGGCTAGTGTTGGCTATGTTTATTTTGTTGTTGTTGCCATAACCACAGTGTATTAATGATATCCTGTGTACATACTCTCTATAATTAGTAACCCTGTTTCTTTACTCATGTGATTATGTTCAATTTTTTGATAAATTTCTTCAAGTGGAGTTTCTGTTAGAAAATTATACCAACTACCTTCATGTAAGAAGTTTTAAAGTAGCCAGTTGGCTTCTTATAATCTAAGTACTGCCAGTTATGTCCGTTTTTAGAAGATTTATGTATTCATTGGATTTGCTGGAGTTTTTTACTTTATTTGTATTGTAGCAATTGTCTTTGTATTTCAGATGTGCAGTATATTAGTTCACTTCAGGTTGAAATGACTTTTAGTGGTTAACTTGGTAACAACTTGTTTCTATTTTTTACAGGATACAGTATAAGATGTAAAAAAATAGAAATAATCTTTAGTATTTAACCTTTTAATATCTGTTTTAATGAGAAGGGTTGATTGCTAGTCACCTTTGTAAATCATTTAATTTTGTGGGGTTTTGTTCTGTTTTTTTTTGTAGAGTTAGTGCACTGAAGGGCTCCAAAGGAAAAGACTGTGAAATCCCTGTGCCTGTGGGCATTTCAATAACTGATGAAAATGGTAAAGTTATAGGTGAGTGTGCTGCAGCTTCTGAGCTTCCAACATTAATTCAGAAAACAGTACAATAGCCTCTTACAGTTCTCAGCATAAAGCTCAGGTTATTAAGGTTGGTAGCAAGTGCCTTTACACACCAAACCATTTCACAGAAGAAAGTTCTTTAACATTTATAATTTTTGCTACTAGCTTATTTAAGACTTTTTAAAAATGTACATAAAATGTATTAAAACACTTGCTGCTAGATTTAAGATGACTTTAAGGAGGTAAGGGTACCTACTTAGTTTTAAAACATATTAATCAGTTTCCTTTTAGCTGCTTACAAAAGTTTTTCTGGGGGGGTCAGTATTTATCTGCCTTGTGTCCATGGAAGACAAACACTTTGCTTCTAAGCTGCCAGCCCTAGGGCATTGCTTTTAAAAATGGTATATTTTTTAAAGAAATTAAATCATAAGTTTAACCCTTTAGATTTCTAAATTGGAATTTCTTGGCATGTATTTGTGCAAAAACAAAACATAATTTGTTTTGGGTTTTATTTATTAATACTTGTTGTCTTTCTTTCCCTTTAAAGGAGAACTCAATAAAGAAGAAGATAGAATTCTGGTTGCTAAAGGTGGCCTTGGTGGTAAATTACATACAAATTTCTTACCTTTGAAAGGCCAGAAGCAAGTAATTCACCTTGACTTAAAAGTTATAGCTGATGTAGGCCTAGTAGGGTAAGTATGTATTATTTATATTCTTACAATACCTTCAAGCAGACCAAGACTACAAAATAAATGTAAATAATAATTTGGAGCAGTGAATATTCCTAGTTTATGTAGTTTGTATGTTAGCACTGGGTATGTGACCCAGGCTGGCTGTGGCTGGTTGGGGAGAAGGCATGAATGAGGAAGTCAGGGAGACTTCCCAGGCTAGACTCTAGAAAAGGAAGGCCGAGGTGTGGCTGGATGGAGAGGTTAGATAAATCACACAAGGAACCTGTGGGTGGTGACAGGTCAGATGGGTCCTTAGAAAATATTTTTAAAATTACCCTTATTTTTAATTATTTTGCTTAATGCTCATATTTAATATTTAATACAAGGTAGGCCCTTAAAGGAAATGTAGCAGTAAAGTCAAAAGACTTTAAGTGACCATATGTTTTAAACCCATATTTACTCATTTGGAAATTTATTACAATAAAGAAACTAAAGATACACAGATTTAAGATCGTCACTATATTGTTAATTTTTATGTTATTTTATATGTATGAGTATTTTGCCTTCATGTATATCTGTGTACCACTTGTGTGCTTGATAGCCTCAGAAACCAGAAGAAGGCGTATGTGTGCTTGCTGAGAATTGAACCCAGGTCCTCTGGAAGAGCAGCCCATGCTCTTAAGCACTGTACCATTTTTCCAGCCCCTTGCTTAAAATGTTTAGAAAAGAGTGGAGCTGAAGCGATGGCTCAGTGGTTGAGAGCACCGGCTGCTCTTCCACAGGTCCTGAGTTCAATTCCCGGCACCCACATGGTGGCTCACAATGAACTGTAACGGAGTCCGATGCCTTCTTCTGGTCTGTAGGGTACATGTAGATGGAGTACTCATACCAAAAAAAAAAAAAGATTAGTTAAAATAATCTTAGAAGAAAACTAAGAAAAATATATACACTTTTTGCAGAAAGAAAAATAAAAGAACAATTTAATTACTAATCCTACTACTCCAAAATATCAGTTAACAGTATATGTATTTCCAATTGTATATACATTTTATTACATTTATTTGTGTTTGTGTATATATGTATGGATGTGCAGTTGCCACAGTGCATGTGTCCATCCCAGGTATCAAACAGAAGTCAGGCTTCACTCACTGAGCCATCTTGATGGCCTCTTGATGGCTGTTATATACCTATTTTTTGCAGTTATTTATAATTAGAAGTAATATAAATGTTTGTCACTAGAAAGCTGGCTGGGTAAGTTGTATATTAACCATTGAAAAGTTGTTTTTAAGCCAGGCGTTGGTGGCACATGCCTTTAATCCCAGCACTCGGGAGGCAGAGGCAGGCAGATCTCTGTGAGTTCGAGGCCAGCCTGGTCTCCAGAGCGAGTGCCAGGATAGGCTCCAAAGCTACACAGAGAAATCTTGTCTTGAAAAACCAAAAAAAAAAGAAAAAAGAAAAAGTTTCTTTTTTCTTTTTTTTTTTATTAGTTCAAATTAGGAACAAGCTTGTTTCAAATGTCAATCCCTTCTTCCTCTCTCTTCCCTCTCCCACACCTCTCCACCACT